CAAACTGACACTACTATAACTGAAACAAATAACTACATATGCTGTCTTACGAACACAGTGGGGCCCACATCAGTGTTCTCTTCAGTATATATAACCTGTTCTGATGCATTTAGTATRCCCTATTTGAATCCAAACAATTTGTAGCCCTAATTGGATTTGACTAAATTGCTGAGCTTTTAAGCTTATGCCATAAAGAGTAAAGAGAATACATAAACTTTAAATCTTCAGAGTTAAATAACATTATAGTATGTACCAAGATCAAAATTTTGCAACATATCAGTGACCCATCAATACGCAAAATTTTCATTCTTTGGGGTTTTTTACCCATTTCAGGGGTTTTTTACCCATTATAGTATACAGCCCAATATAGAAGTAAGATCCTTGTACAACAAATTTCATTACCCAAAAAAAAAGTATATCTTATGTGGTTGGTAATTCTGCGCAAAAGAAAAACCCAAGCTTACGTAAAATCCAACTACTAAGAGATTTGGTTAACTAACCAACCATTCTTAGACACAAATGTAATTGACTGACTAGGAACAAAATAACAACTAGTATAATTTTCATTCGAAATAGAGGAACAAAATAAAAAATAAAAATATAAAAATATAAAAATATAAAAATATAAAAACAGAGGAATGCGAATGAGACAGCAAGAGAGAAGTTTAGTACCTCCTTGGAAAATCGAAGTTGTCCTTTAGAATTCCTCAGTACTTAGACTAACAGCGTAGCATTTATCAAAGAAGTCAGAGCATACATGGTGGCAATAATGAAGAAACCCTAACAAATAGAGAAAAAGAGACAGCATAGATAGGAAAGAGTGAGATATTTACCTGTGAACCAAATGTTGTGGATGTGTCTGAGAGAGAAACCGCAAAAGATAGAGAGCATTACTGATGCGTAACCATGTGTGAGAGAGATAGACATAGAGAGAGTGTGAGTGCGAGAGAGAGAGAGAGAGAGAGCGAGAGAAAGAGAGAAAGAGAGAAACGACTGAGAAAGAGAGAGCGAGAGAGGGATGATTTGGGAGCGAAGGAGAGTGAGAGAGGGACGACAGAGAGAGAAAAAAAAGGAGAGAGATGATTGAGTGAGAGAGAGAGAGAGAGAGAGAGAGAGGGGGGGCGGGAGAGGCGCGAATGAAAGAGTCCAAAAAACACACAAATTCCCTCACGCGCCATTTCTTTTTTTTTCATTTTTACTTTTATGCTATTCCGTCGGTATAAATATCCTTATCCGTCGGTATAGAAAATTGCCATATCACGTCGGTATAGATTTTTAAGATCCGTCGATATAGATATCTTTCACCGACGGACTCTAATCCGTCGGTATATGTAGACCTACACCGACGGTTATTTTCCATCGGTGAAAATAGCCGTTGTATATGACAATTTTCTTGTAGTGTAATGATCAGGACAGAAACATTTTTGAGATCCTAAACTCTTCTCATATGGTGCCTCGACCTAGAATTATATTACTACCCAGACCTGCTATAGCCTTCTCTCTTCAATTTGATGCCTTGATGGTAGTTTGAGAATATCAACAAAGACTCGAGCTGGAATCAAAGGGTTGTTTCTAAACCCCACTAGTAAATTTGGACAGATTCCAAGTATGTTTTGGAAGCTGATGATGTGCGATCTGACCGCTCCCTTGTGTCTTGTGACTTAGTTCAAACAAGGTTCCAATCTGGCAAAGCCAAGCTATATGACCGAGCTGATGTTTGGGTGTTCGAGTTGAAGTGCGCTGTAGAGAGAGAAGGGTGAGAGTGCCTAGGTAGGTTTTACCCGCAGAGAACACTCTGATGCTTAAGTCAGAGAGACGTTACAAAAATCTCTTAAGAGTGTGAGAGAGCTTGAGTGTATCAGTGCACATACCTCTCTCTGGGTGGATTCGTTGTCCTTTTATAGTTATCTGAGGGTCCAGGTGCTTTGGATAACATCTATCATTCTTTGGCGGAGCTATTTCCACAAAATGAGATGTGTTAATGCATCAGTTACTGGATTAGCACAGCGATTACAGGTCACTCGATTAAATTGTGGCGCACAGTTCGGCGAACTGATATTGGCGCCCTCGAGGGTGGGGCACATGAAACGGTTTAGGCGAGCTCGCCTCGTTGGTTGCTCAAGCTCACCCCAACTCGGCTGCCTTCATGGTTGGTCTACATGAGGTTCTATAGGCTAATCCTGAAAAGAATGGTAGGATTCATCTTATGGAYGCCAAAACTGTTGCGGATGGGTGGGCGAATTTCAAAAATTTCCTACCTTCCTTCCAACTGAGAATCGTATTCCCTGATTTTAGAATCAAAATTCAAGGATCCTACTTGAACCAAACCAAATCAGATTTGAACCAAAAGACAAGGGAGGGATTATACCTAATCTAGAGAAGCAGTATCTCCCAAAGTTGGTGTTCACGCCCAAAGAAGATCCCAAGATCAGCTCCCACTGAAGATGACAGAGTGATGATGGAGCCGAACCAGCAGTGTTCATTCCACAAACCAGGCTCTTCTGAAGAACTCGATGGAAGACTGTGAGCACCATGCGAACAATCAAGAACCTTTCTTGATCTTCTCTAACTGAGAACTCGAACTGGCAGAAAAGGGTGGTGGCGGTTGCTGGAGGACAATGCTAGAGAAGAAGATGGCGAACTGCTATTTTCTTCTCTAGGGTTATCTGAGATCCTATCTCAAGAATGCAGAGTTGTCTGCTGAAACTCCTAGGGTTCGAATTCAAGTAATTCAAATTAGGGTTTTCCTCCTCTTTCTTAATGATTAAGAAAACCTCCTAATCATATCAGGAGTTGCCCTTATCCAAATCTATATTTGGATTAGGAATTTTCTTAATATTATCTGTAGATTAGATCAGCTTTTTGGGCGTAACCTAATCTCAGATTCGCCCCCTTAAGTGATTGATCAAATCAGCCAGAGCGAAATGGGCTTTAGGCCCAATATGTATTAAGTGCTCAATAGTCTTCCAAACTACTGCCCAGCTGGGCTTCTTTGTATGGCGTGGGACCAAAACATTGATCTACACACCAGCCACATGGGTTCGGCCCAACCTCTGTTACAAGGCCTAGCCGAATTCACTGAAAAGCCCAGTGAACCCCTTGAGCCCATCACATGGACCCTATGGGCCCAACACTTACACTAAGTGGTCCCTAGGCCAAACCATCTTTTAAAAACCCAGGGACTATGGGGAGATGCAAGATTAGCCCATTAGGTATTATCCTAAATGGCCTTACACTCAACCTCTTAGCCCATAATGATCAAGCACTGCCCGACAAGAGAGGACCTCTCCCTTGAGTGTAAGGAACAGTGCTGCACTCTCTACTCACATGGATCCCAGGAATTAAAACCATTTACAAACATTTTGAAACCATACATATCTATATATCATATATATAAATTTTGTAAAACAAATTCCAATGATTGAAATCAGCTACCGGCAGTTTGGATTCTGATGGAGGACGATTTGACCCGACCTATGAAACAGTGACATGTGGACACTGATTCAGCACGAGCAACAGCTCAGCATTGCAGCCCAGTGCGACCAAGTGACGGGCTCATAAAGCAGCTCGCTACATCGTAGCTCACAAAAGGAGAAGCTCGCCACAACGCAAGTTCCAGGTTCCCTGAGCTACCTTTGAAGGGATACTCCGAGGCAACTTTAGCTCGCCCGAGCTCCCAAGCAGACAAGTCATCCCAAGGACCAATTCTCTTAAAGATAATCCTAAAGTATTCCGAGCTCGCTACAAAGTAGCTCGGGAATGAGCCGCATGGGCACT